CGCCACGGGGCCGATGATGGGACCCAGTAGGGGCCCGATACTAAACGCCGCCATGGCCGCCCCGCGCTTCTCCTGGCGGATCATGTCGGAGATGGAACCCGCGCCGTTGGTGATGGGTGCGGAGCCGAAGACGCCAGCGAAGAGGCGGAAGACGATGAGGGCGTTGAGGGTAGGCGCGAGGGCGGCGCCGACGTTGAAGCAGATGAAGAACAGGTTGCAGACGTGGTAGACGATTGTGCGGCCGTAGATTTCGCTCAGGGGCGCGCAGAGCAGGGGTCCGGCTGCGAAGCCTAGGACGTAGACTGCGCTTTGTTGTCAGCACGTTTTGTTTCTTTCCGGTTGATCTGTACGATGGGATGGTAAACAGAGGTTCAAAGGAGCGTTCATACCGGAGACGACAAAGGCAGCTAGATAGGGGCTGTTGTTGTGAAACTCCCGCATGAGGTCCGGCACGCCGGGGGCAAAGATGGAAGACGCCAGTGGTGTGACGAACGTCATGGCACTGATCAGGCTACAGTTGAGGACCTTGAGCCAACTCGGCCAGTTGTACGGATTCGCCGGGTCGTCCGGGCCATCCCACCAGACAATGTTCTCGTCTTCGGAGCTCTCGCCGCCGTCGCCGTCCTTCTCTGTCGTACCGCCAACACCCTTTTCCACGTCCTCGCGCCCCATGGACTTGCGAGATCTCGTCCGAGCCAGCGCGAGCGACTGCTTTCTCTTCTCCTCGCCGCGTTCGTCGAGGACGTAGCCCATGCTGGAGGGTATGTCGGCATCGTGGCCCTCTGCTAGGGCCTCTGCCGTTTTCTCTTCCCTTGTGGGTTCGCGTTCCAGCCGGTAGAGGCCTCTTGTCTCCTTGTCGTCATGGGATATGCTGCTTGTCGTGGCTCCTTCTTCCGCGGAGTGGCGCGGCTCTTTTGTTGGTGAGGTCATTGGAGCTTTGAGAGTACGCTGCCTTGATGTCAGTTCCGATGACCACTTATACTGCGTCCCTGTGCAGCTACACAACTGCCAGGAGCTACGAAAGTTGAGAAAGCAAAGGCTTGGCATTCCGGAATATTATCCGGCGACTTGGCGTGCAAAGCCGTGGTGTCTGTGTTTACATGCTCCCCGAATCACGTAGAATGATCTTGGATCTTTGTGTAAGGAAAAGGGCAGACTTGCCTAAACTACCTTTTATGTCTAGGAAGGCCTAGATTCGCAATCTCTCGCGAGAACCGACGCGTGGAGATTTACTCGAGAAAGCTGGTTTTCTAACTTTCAACAGGAGCTTCAGGTGAGTTGTTCTATGGGAACGGTTGGCTATTGTATGTAGTTGGAGTCAATTATAGTCAAGAGGATATCGTGATTTCAAGTGTAAGGTAAGAATTGGTACAACAGTCAAGAGACTGCATATCCGCCAAAGAGTCGCTCAACAGGAAAAGAAGCAAAGAACAAGCAGCAACCTAGAGACAAGAGCCATGGACCCCTGCGCCTCTTAAACAAACAGATATGGTCTGCCGCTGTCGACCGACCATCGCAACGGGGATTTGACTCGACCGGGTCAGACCACACTCCACACCACCCTTAACATGGGTAAACGCAGCCGAATACCTCAATCGGGGTGCGTTTCCCCCCTCTCTGGGGAAAATCAAAAAGGGAACGGGGAAGAAGAGGGCTAGAAGTTGTCAACTCCGACCCGAACCCCGTTCAAAGGGACTAGGGTTAAATTTGAAGCATTGGTTTGGCCGCTGGCGGCTCGTTTGGAAGGGGGGAAATGGGGTAACGAACTAACGACTTGCTGTGCGTTACATGGGTGCTGCAGCTCCCGTTGGAGCAAGCCCATTTCACACTAGACCAATGGCTTCATGTTACGACGCCCAACCGTTGGAGGGGATCACCCGAGCCATCACGGCGGCGTTCGTCCCCTTAAGCTTAGATGCGGGTGCCAATACGCTTGGCGAGATCTTTGTAGCCTCCCCTTCGATTGCCTGCTTCTGACCATCCTCTTTTCTATGCGTAAGACGTAAGGCGAGTGAGTAAATTCTCCGCTATTTCTGGGTTGCCTCGCTACCCTTTCACCGAGCAGCGGCGTATGGTCAGCTCAGAATGAGCATGCGCCCCTGCATCAACCAACGAATAATCACACTTGAGTGAGAACGGCGCAGCAGACTCGAATTGTTATCTGCTTCTAATATTGTATGCAAGCAGTGAGCCTGCATACACGATAGGTGCAGTATATTGGCCGCGACTCCCCTTCGACATGGGACTACCATGGCCAGATATATCCCCGGAGCATGACCGATTAAGCTCCCGGAAGATGCACGGAGCCGCGATCCACTCGGCGCCGAAGAAGCGGGTCAACCAACGATGTGCAACCGGGCATGAACAGCTGTAGAACTGTGTAGAGGATGTGAACTTGAAATGGAAACTGAACCCCGTGGAAATTGTTTCAATGCAAGTACGTAACAGTCCTTTGGTAATAACTGGATCTTGCTGGTTCCGTTTTCTACGGGCTTGTTTTGCTTCAAAAAGAACAAGGCGCCGAAACCTCAAATGAGAGGCAGGAGCGTAAGGAAGGAGATGAGATGAAAACCAAAGTATGCGTGAAGAGAGGCAAGAGATTTGAAGGTGAATACACATGGAGGTGAATACGCACTCGAGGCCTCAGTGAACCTTACCCTCACCCGAAGGGAAGAAAAACATCCACTCGTCTTCACCACCCACTGTCACTGAGGTGCACATCAACAACCACGCAACAGGAAATATTCTGCGCACCTTATCCTTGAGCCCTTCGGTTTACTTCACTTGAAGGGGGGAAAGAGGCCAAGCAGAACGACAAAAACAGACCAGATACTCGGGACTGTCAACCTGGCCGGCAGCATCGCTGCCATACCAGCAGAGAGTGAGTTTGACAAGCAAGATTCTCGAAGCAAGCACCTCAACCTCCTTGATTGCTCGATTCGTCCCGACGTAGAGAAAAATGAATGCTGATCATGCCACAGTGACGAAGCCGAAGTCAGCACTGACGAGAAATATCTCGACGCCATTGCCGTATCCCTTTCCCGCGGCTATACCTCCAAAGGCAGCCCGGACGCTGATGGAAAAGCCCAAGTCGGGATGGCCAGCCGGATCAACACGCAAAAACCTCCCGCCCTGGGATCGCTCGATCGATGTCGTCTATCACAAATACCGACGTGACCAGGCGGTGCCCGACAAGGCCACTGATTTTGAGAGATCGGTCGCAATGTTCTTTGCCGATCATCAGCGAACGCAACAGCAGGAGCCGACTTCTCCATACCTCAGACTTCCCGCAGTCGCACGCTTCCAGATATGCCAATATCTCATTGCCGACCATGAATCCGACATGCCCATCTGCCTCAACGACGGCCGTTTCGTGAGAGAGGTCTGGACTGACGATGAGTACACTTCACTAGCTACTGCCATGAGACCTCTGCAGCCGTACCTCGAAGTGTCTTTCGCTCTGCGCGCGGATATGCTGATTGCATTTCTCATGGGAGAGCGCTTCCACATCACCATGTCGCCTTTCGTGGGTCCCTACCTGAACCCTTTGGCAACACTGTGGTGTAATAAATACGGTCACTTCATGCAGCAGGTCATCGTTGAGCTCGACCTGACTCGATTGGGTTTCGGGCCAGGCAAGGAAGCCTGCAAGTTACGCGCAGGAACCGTTAATATGGATGATCTCATCGGGGCTTTTGTTAGAGGCCAATTGAAACGAAAGAACCATTCGACGCTCAAGAGCCTTGTGCTACTCTGCCGGAGATTCTGGGGTGAACGCCCTTCCGACCATCTTCCCCCAGGTTCCAGGTCTACCAGCGAGCAGAACAACCAGGGAATGTCGACGGAGCCGGAACAAGTGTTCACACCCAAGCGATCGAGCTACGGAGCTGACTTCTCATACTGCCCTGATGAGTTCCTCAGAATTTGCGAGCCATTCGTGCGCCTAAATGGCTTGGTTGACTCGATGCGCCTCTGCGGTTTCAGCAATGGCTATACACATTCTCTGCTGCGCCGTATCTTTCCTGTTCCTGAGAGAAGCGAGGATATCAAGTACCATACGTACCGAGTGGCGCCTTCTTCGGTGTGGCCGCGCATTCCCGGCCAAAAGTCGTGGGTCGACAAAGGATACGGTAAATTTCAGCAGGATGATCATTCTCGACAGTACCTGCGCGGCCTCTGTCTTCCAGAGGGAGCAGTAATGCTTACACGACCATACGAGAACCTATCGACTGGACGTATGTCGGTTGGATATGCGTCTAGAAGCATTGAAGAAACCTCAGAGAACGGCGACGCACGTGAACGTCCGGACAGCAGAACGCAGCTGATCGGAAGGGCGTCTCAAGAATCGGTAGCAACGGATGAGGCGAGTCTTGAACACAGAATGCAGGTCCTAGTTCACAGAATGCGACGAAGCTTGTCAAAGAGAGAGGTTGATGCTGGTTCGCCGGCGTCCGCGACATCAGCATGGGCAATGTCGGGCTGGTCGTCTCGGGAATCAGAAGGGAGCTGGCTGGAGGATGGAACGATATCCAGAGCGACTATTTGAGAAGACACGTCTATATGACTGTCGCAACATGATGGCATTTCGGCGGACGAATGGGTGCAGTAGAAGACTGAAAGGAGAGTAGAAGTGGATGCAGATGACGTTTATTTTAATATCGTCGCTGAAGTTGGGTGGGAGAAGTTGGGTGGGAGAAGTTGGGTGGGAGAAGTTGGATGGAGTTGTTACTTTGTGGTTTGACGTCAGTGCAAGGTACCGTTGTACATAGACGTAGGTACGTATCCGTCCTCTGCTGCGGAAATGTGGAGAGAAAAAAAAAGATCGAAAAAAGGAACCCCGCGATGCCTGGCTGCCCAGCGGTGCTCTGTTCGTCACTGCTGCCCCACCAACATCTTGCAAGCTTCCTCGTCCGACCCCTCCACGATCGTACACTTACCTCTCTCACCAATACTGAGCACCGTCAATTAGAAAAAGAAAAAGAAAAAAACCACCCGCCACAATGTCTGCGCAAGTTCCCACCAACTTTGACGCCCAAGAGGCTGACAACCTCGAGGATGTGAGCTCGAACCCCTCCTCTCTTCGTGTCGCGAATGAAATGCGCTGACTTATTTTTTGCGTCCAGATCGAGAAGCAATTCGCCGTCAAGGGTACACACGCTGCCACTACCACCTCCGACCCTATTCACGATCGCGAGCTAACCGCCAGAACGTTCCTGTAGTTGTTCAGCACATGGAAACCTACTGGAAGATCCTTGAGAAGGTCAAGGGCTCCACGCTGCGCCTGACCAAGATCGATGACGAGATCTACGAGCACCTGAAGACCGACTTCCCCGAGTTCGACCCCGCCGCGACCATCAACGAGGACGAGATGAAGAGCAAGTCCGGCAAGGAACGGTGGCGCAAGTTCATGATGGCCTACGAGAAGAAGGTCGACGATTACAACTTTGGCACCATGGTCCGCGCCAGCCCCAAGTTCGAATACGGCCAGAACGAGGTCATTTTCGGTCAGTGGCCCCCCGCCGACCCTGTTCTGAACCTCGCCAAAAGGCGATTCTGGCTCGCTCATCTGCTAACTTGTAATACAGCGCCCCGCATGCAGTTCTACGCCATCGAGATTGCGAGAAACCGCAACGGTCTGAACGACTGGATCTACGAGAAGGCCCAGGCCGCCAAGTCTAGCTAAAGGAAATACTTTTTCGACGATGAACGTCGTCTTGAGAAATGACGCTAAACTGAGATTGAATTGCGATACCACCTGTGCTTCGTCACCTCGGCCAGAAAGCGCTTCGCCCGAGTTGAGAGGCTATGGGCATGAACATCGAGCTGCGAATGGTCTCATGATTTTGGACGTAGTACTTCATTGAATGGTGATGCCACGGTCTCGACCTCGCGGTTGTATGATGCGTATAGCACTTGAAGTCCGGGTTCTGCTCTCACGCCACCATTCTTGGATGTGGCTTATGAGAATGCGACATCATGGGATTCGAGCATGTTGGTAAATTGAGTGTGGTACATACTTGAAACTGAGCAATATGCCAGGCAACTGAAATCGAGATATTCCTACGAGCCCCCTCATGAAAAGACTATATACACGCTGCAGATACTGCTGCTAGAGTCCGTGATAATCTGGAAGACCTATTCAAGGAGTTCCGCAGAGACCATGCTTAACGCTACACAAAAGAAGGCTGCGGCATTTCCGCCAGCCGTGGGAGGGAGATGCCGCCATGCAAAGAGCTGACGAAGACATAGCTATAGTGCCAGCCTTTTTCCCTTTTTCCCTTTTTTTTTTGGTCTCGAGGTTGTTTAATGGCGACTAACTTGGATTGACCCATGGTGAGGTCGGCGGACGGCCTTGGAGAGAAGGTTCAGGCTCCAACGTGATGGTAAGCGGATCTTGATAGAATGGCCATGCCCGCGAGGTGATCTGGAGAAATCCATAGGAGATGGATGGGCCCATGTTCGAGAGCTTGCTGTCAAAAATGCTGTAAGCTACAAGGACCAATAGATCTTGTAACCAGCTGATATCCAGCTAGCTGGGCCTGGCTCAGCAAGGGTGGTGTATCTCGATATTCCTCCACTCAATTTTCTTCGACATATTCGAGTCTAGCGGCTCTACCGTGAGGTTAGCTAAAGATATAATGTAAAGTGGCATTTGAAGTAGATGGTGAGCGAGGCCAGATAGATACTGGAACGAACAGAGAAACATCATTGAGCTTGGCTGTGGTGAAGACTTGTCATTTCGAGATTTGATGATTGTAAGTCTGTTTGACTTGGCGATGATGTTCCGGGAAGGTACCTAGGCAGAAGTGGCTCAGGGAGGACATTGTGGTCTACCATTTCCTCAGCAGATGGGTGTAAATGCAGATGTTCCATCTAGGGCTACGAAGATACACATTTTATTGGCATGTGACGAGGGAAGAGGAAAATAAAATTAGTATTTCTAGATGATATACAGACGGATGAGATACGAGCAAGTCCCAATCGCCTTGCAGGTGGTTGTTAAATCCAATGAGATCTGGTGCTAGTCACGTACATTGTGGTTGTATCCATTTACTCTAATGAAGCAGGTACGTCAAAATAACCCAGACGATCGACGAGGCCATGATTGAGCTGCCTCGAGCAGATGCAATAGATGGAATCAAGGCAACTGCAGTAAAACGCAAGGCTTGAACGTGACTAGCAAATGCTATGCTATGAGTGACAAGATTGTCCATCAACCGCCTGTCTATGGTACCTTAGATAAGGCATCTCAAGTTGATGTTCAGCTTGAGGGCGGCGTATTCCCGCCTTCTCTAATTTGAGTCTACGGTTTATTCACTTCGTATCTCTTCTCAGATGAGTGTCGAAGAGGGAAGGTGCCTTCGAGTTCTGGATCAGCTTGCTCTTTCCACCTGAATCATTACGGGCTTTTTGCCTTCCGCTTCCTGCCTTCCACTTTAACTATACCGCCTTTGCGATATTGGTTTCGAGGAAGGAGTAGGATTTGAGTCTTTTCTTTACCTCTTCGCCTCCTTCACACACTTTTGCCAGTCGAAGATTTGGAATCCCATCACCCGCCTCACATCTTTATTTTTACCTGTGGCTGGATTTTCCTCTCGTCTTCTAGCAACGGAGGCATGCTGCAGAAGATCGGCCGACTGCTTTGAGGGAGAAATATTCTTAGCGTTGTGGCCACACTTTGAGCTGCCTCAGAAGCTGAACTCAGACGCCTCGAACATTGAATCCACAGCGCCATCAGCTTCACTTTCGCATTGCCTCTGCGCTGCCACCCGTCTTCCCTACAAAGAAGGTATACGACGAATGACCCATCTCAAGCAAGCAGCATTCGCACCTCAACAGCAACAACCATGGGCCAATTCACTTCCCAGCCCCGTGACGACACCTCGCCGCCGCCCGATCCAGTGCTCAGCCTTTCACAGGGTACAGGCGGCGAGCAAGGAATCCCCGTGATCACTCGTATCCGCACCGAAGGTGGTAAGACAGCTACTGGTAAGTCTGAGTTGTGCCTTACTCCCAATCTCCAAAGCCCTTCATTTTTAGTTCTTTCTAACGATGCATTCTAGTGACCATTACCCTGCAAGAGACAGCATTGACGTCGGCGTTGGCCTCGACCTTCACCACCTCCTCACTATTGCCAGTGATGACAACTCTGATGACTACACTGAGACCTTCGCTGACTACCTCCACGCTCTCGTCTACCGAACAGAACACGTCACTGCCCAAGTCGACTGGCTCACCTGACCAGGAACCCCATGTCACTCTTTCCAGGAACACATTGATTATCATCAGTTGTGCTGCTGTCGGAGGCTCTTTACTCCTCCTGTTCCTCATCGGCATGATTCACGCTTACGTGCGCCGAAGAGACGCGATCAAGGAAGATGCTAAGAAGGAGGCTGTTGCTGCTGCTGCTGCTGCTGCTGCTGCTGCTGCTGCTGGCATGCAGGAGCGTGAGCTGAACCAGTTCTCTCACCAGCCTCACCAGCATGCCAACGAGCATGGCTACAGCATGGCCATGTCTCAACCAGCCCCACGTGCGTGCTCGGAGCCGGATCTGTACCAGCACCTTCACCCGTCACACGAGGTAGCCAATGCCAGTTTCCGTACCCTCCCCGCCGCATACCCCGTGTATGAGCCGCATCCAGCACAGGTTGTCGCTGAGCTTCCTGCCGAGCCATGTGGCAGCGGTCTTCCGCATTACGGTTATCGAGGATAACCTAGATGGAGGACCTTGGTTGAAATAGGTTTGGTAGCTTATGGTGGTAAGCATTGGGTCTAGGTTGGAGAACAGAAGTTCTGGATTCACTTGCATCGTCAAGTTGGGGACATATCATTGGCTGGATGGAGGGTCATGTAAGTAAGTCTCTTCTCCAAACGTTAATAATGTTGGTGGTCATGGTGGTTTCGGAGAAGAGCTAGGTACCCGCACATTGCTGTCTTACGGCTTTTTTTCGGAATGCGATTTTGTCTTTCACATCTTTCACCGTTTTTTGGATTATCATGTGTAGGAATTCCATACTTGGAAGGCGTGTAAGGTACGTACAAGGAGAAGAAGGACGGTCACATTAGCAGACGTCGACGGACCCGAGGCTACGACACCACGACTCAGGGCTTGACGGGAATTGCACGGTTTTGGGCATTAACCCGCTGCGGCCCATCGCCCACCCCCTCTCCAACTCTCGCTCGTAGTAACGTTCCGGCATGGCCCGTACGGGACGACATTGGCATCAAAGTATGGCCGTTACCAATACCGTGGTAATGCAGAGTCAGGGCCGTCGAGCCGAGCACGGGCAGATCTTCGTTGGTTCATATCTGCTCATTTTGTGGCCGCCTTCCTACGTACGTTCTATATGGCAGACTCCGTGAGCAACTGACAGCCAGGTCTGTACATCGACTCTGACCAATTTACCCGAACCTGGGAGCTGTCTTCATCATCGCGAGGATGGAAAAAGTAGCCGATAACCGATCCATCTTCCTACATGACGCTGCTGGAGACTACGTACCATCTGGGGTATTCCCCCGGGAATAGAGCGGGAAAGAAGATGGGATATACTTCGTTAGTCTGTATGCCACGCCGCTTCAACCCCAGATGGACAGGGAAGCCTGAACGGGGTAAGTCCAAGATCAGACGGGGTGTGCCAGAAAACCGGACAACTTGGCAACGCCAAAACGATGTGAGACTCGAAGGCAAGATGGACGGTTTCCATCTCCAAAGGGCCGTCTGGCAACTGACCAGCTGAACCTGTCAACAATATGTTCACAATCCTATAGAGATTGACTCCATTTTCTTCAACTCAAGGTTCAGTCTGCGTCTTGGTTTCCACTGCTGTGGCTTCGGGTCGGCCGTATTTGAAAGCTGGGGTTTCTCCAGCTTGGCTTGAACGTCGATGAAGCACTCTCGACAAGCATGGAGGCGCTAATCGAGCTAGGCCCGTACAACGCAGCAGTCATGCCCCACGCTCCCTTGAGCCCTCACGAATCATGACTCTCTTGATGATCTGCAGCCGTTTTTGCGCTCGTGCCTGGGCTGTGCTTCCGATTGCAATGTGGTACTTTGTCGGGCAGCTCGCTCAACTTGAGGCATTCAAGTCTTGTCCAGGTGGCATTAATCGATTGACCCTGAGCCCTGCCCTTACTCAACCTTTTCTGAGGCGGGCTGTTATGAGGAAAGTCGGATAGACAGTGGAGGTCGGTTTGAGCCTACAACGACCAATAGCGAGGGCATCGCGGCCTTCGTCCCGTTTCTCAGCCAGCCACCGGCCGAGCAATCGCGCCGTATGGCGTTGCATCACATCGCATCCAGACTTCCGTCCTCGTCCCGACTCTGACCGCTACCTGCCTTAGCTCCCACCTTTCATCAGGTACCTTGGGGTGAGTAGACCCTCGGCTGACCGGGGCCATAGCCGCTACCGACGTGACTGGGTGGAATCCATCCGCCGTTATTCCCGTTCACATTCCCGACCCTGGGACGGTCTCTCTTAGTCTCACATTGCCGTTTCTCGTGTGGGTGGAGGTTCACTAACACAGATTGTTATATCCTGCAGTTCCCTCGTTCTCTCGACGCCAGATTCTTCGTGATTCACTCATTCACTCACCTCCACTGCTTCACGCATCTCCATATGGATCGTGCTCCAACCTCGTTGAACACCAAGTTGGAAACGGTCATGGAGCTTGTACCGATTCACACTCTCTATCTTCAGCCTGCAAATTCGTTTTGAGGCCTCACACATCATCGGTATTGCCGTCTAACAAAGTAGTCCCCGACTATGACGAACAAGATGCTAGATATCGAAAAGGCGCCTCAGGGGTCCAAGGGGACCAACTCCTCGCCAAGTGCCAACGAGGCTTCTCAACCGCCAAGACCTGACGCCCGTGTCGACGCTAACAGTACAATCATTTTCAGATACTTGGCTTTCGATACAGTCCTACCCGCGCCGGCCGACATATCTTTCCAAGTATCGGCCGAGTCGCCGCCAGAACCAGCACCCCCAAACCTGTCACACTACACCTCGCCTCTGCAATGGCCTCAACCCCGGAAATACCTCATGCTAGCGCTGTCGTGCGTCGCCACCTTTCTCACCGCATACACGGCCGGCTCGTATTCACCACCGTCTTACATCATGGCCGATGACCTTAGCACCTCTCAGCTACTCGTCTTGACCGGTATCACAACCTTTTGCATCGGTTTCGCCCTCTCACCGATGGTGTTAGCGCCCCTGTCGGAGATATATGGCCGGTATCCAGTGTTTGTCATCTCTGGCGTTGTATATGTCATCTTCCAAGCCGTCTGCTCTGTTGCGCCGAACCTGACGGCCATGCTCATCGCCCGGTTCCTAGTCGGTGTCGGCGGCTCCGTCTTCAGCTCGGTCATTGGCGGCGTCATTGCGGATCTTTGGGCAAAGGAGCAGAGAAACACTCCCATGGCCCTCTTCAGCGGCGCCGTGTTGGCTGGAACGGGAGCCGGTCCCCTGGTGGCTTCACTCATGGTCAAGAGAATGGGATCTCCGGACGGAACGCTGGCATGGAAGTGGATCTTTTGGCACCAGGTCATCGTCGACACTGTTCTTGTCATTGCTCTGGCTGTCCTGTTCAAAGAAAGCCGGGGCTCCGTCATCTTATCAAGGAAAGCCGAAGCTCTGAATGCGTGGTACGAGGAAAGGGAAAAGGCAGGATTCTACGGCGTTTGGTCGGAGGATACAACGAATAGTAGCGATGTTACCGACACGGCTTCGGATTCAGGAGCTGATATGCAGGTGTGCTCCTGCTGCGGCCTCGAAAAGACATCCGCAACTTGTCAGTCGAGTCGTCGATGTTCTACCCAGCTTAAACCCCAACGGCTGCGTTGGCTAGTTAAGGAGGACGAAGAACGGGCATCCATCACCACGCTGATTTCAATGTCGGTATCCCGGCCATTCCACCTTCTCTTCACAGAGCCCGTGGTCTTCTTCTTCTCGATATGGTGCGCCTTTGCCTGGGCCGTCCTCTACTGCACGTTCGGAAGCATCCCTCTGGCCATGTCACGTAGGCGCAACTGGGACATTGAGCAGTCGGGCTACTTCTTCTCCGCCATGATCGTCGGCTCCGTGGTCGCGACCATTGTCGGTGTCCTCCAGGACAGGCTCCTCCAGCTACCAAACTGGCGAGCCGATACCCCCCTCGATGAATCCTCCCGCTTCTGGCTCTTTATGCGGCGTCGTTTCCCTGCCGAGGCGCCAGAGTCGCGCCTGTACTTTACCTGTATCACAGCCACCTTCCTCCCCGCGGGCCTCTTCATCTTCGGCTTCACAGCCAAGCAAGAGTTCCACTGGATCGCGCCCGCCTTTGGCATCGGGCTCGCGACGTGGGGCATCTACTCGGTGTATCTGGCCACGTTCAACTACTTTGCCGACATTTACCACAAATACGCCTCCTCGGCGCTGGCTGCGCAGTCGTGTTGTCGAAACATACTCGGGGGCGTCTTCCCGCTCGTTACGGGGGCCTTGTTTCGAAATCTCGGAGAGGAACGCGCGGGCTCGCTGTTGGGTGGGATTGCCACGGGCTTGACTTTGATTCCGTGGGCGCTCGTCTTCTTTGGTGAACGGATCCGGGCCAAGAGCCGGTTCGCTATCGTGAGTTTGGATGCCCTCGTCCTTATCTGCAGTGTTCGCCAGCTAACTCATACAGACTTTGGAAGCCTCACGATAATGAGTCCAAACAGACGGTCGTATTTTGGATATCTAGATCAACGGGTTCTCAGTAGCACCCCGTCTTGCTGTATAAAAAGGATACATATTGAACACAATATAAAGTCATTACATAAATGCTCAACACGCACGATGCTAGTATACCTAACGCGTCGATAAAGCTGAGGCAAATCAACTCTTAGAAAAGATGAATGAGCAAATACTTTTGTGATTGGGCAACTGTCTTTCCTTTAAACTAGCCCGATATGACTCCTTGAAACGCTCATATCATACCACAACGCAATGGGAATACCTTCTATCCGTACTATACACTTCAGTCATCAACGCCTTCAAAGCTGGCGCAAAAGCCTCTACAGCGCCTCAATAGTTTTCAGCAACACCTCAACGCCCCTCTTCTCCAGCTCATCGCCGCCCTTGAGCAGAGACGACACGTCACTCAGTACACCAAGCGGAATGTAACAACCTGACTTGGCCTTCTCCAAGCTTTCCTTGAGCCTGCTGGTATGCTCCCATTCCTTGGCTGCAACCTCTGCACGCTCAATGACGCGGCTGGAGATACCGCACATGGCGGCACAGTGCATTCCGAAACTGCCCTCAGCAATTCCGTCTTCGAGCTTGTATAGGAACGTGACGCGCCTCTCCTCTTCGTCCACGTGAATCTGCATGCGACGTGGGCGAATCTCGGTATGGTTCTCGAACTCGGTCGCCAGGGAATGGTAGTGCGTCGCAAAGAAGCCGACACAGCCCACGTGTGTAGCAATGTGGTGCAAGACAGCCTGTGCAACTGCAACTCCGTCATAGGAACTGGTTCCACGTCCGAGTTCATCCAGAATCACCAGAGAGCGCGGCGTAGCCTCTGCCAGGATCTTCTTCGTCTCAGACAGCTCCACGAAGAATGTTGACTGAGAGGCAAAAATGTTGTCATTAGCACCAAGTCTTGACATGATTCGGTCAACAGGAGTAAGTCGAGCGGATGTAGCCGGAACATGGCATCCGATTTGGGCCAAGATAACGGCAATACAGGACTGCTCAAGTTAGCTGAGGTTCTAAGTAGAAGGCTTTGGTATAATATGACTCACCATTCTCAGAACGGTTGATTTGCCCGCGGCATTGGCACCAGTTAATAGGTTGATGTTTGGCGAATCACCGCCAAGTTCAATGTCGTTGGGGATGAAGTCGGCCACTGCATTCAACATGCACGGATGACGCAGCTCAGAAAATTCGACAACACTGCGTTCCTGGTCGACGAATTCGGGGCGACAGCTAGGTTCTCCTAGCGAAGACGAGGCCTTGGCGAGACTAATGAGGCAGTCAAGTTGTGAGATGATCCTGATAGACTGCGACCAGGTTTCGTAATCGGCGTCGAAGCGGCGGAAGAACCGCGTGGCCACCTCCTTGACGATCTGTGAATGAGTCTCTTCCGCTTCTTGCAGCTCTCGGACCAAGTCTGTGAGCTCGTCAAAGTAGTATCTCTTGACACTTGCAGTCGCCGACATCTGGCGCCAGTCTCTCGGCACCTTGACGGCCTTGGGTGCCTCGATTTGGTAGACCTCCTTGCCAATATCGGTGAACTTCAGCGTCTTGCACTTTAGCTCGGACTTCTTGCCCGTGAGGAGTGTCTGCAGCTCTTCCTTGATGGCTTCGATCCGATCTTGGCTATTGTCAAAATCTTCTTCGATACCACGTTCAGGAATGAGGAGTTTGTCTTCCTTCGCCTTCTTTCGATCAAATGCAGTTTTCCAGTACGTCAAAGGCTCACTGAGATTTGGCATGGAAGCCACCAGGCGTTCGACCAAGCCATTGCCGCCACCAACTTCTCCCAATAGCTCCATGGTGTACTCAATCTGTTCGAAGCCTTCGAGCACGCGCACGAAGTCCTCTGGCTTGCAGGAAGCAGCGTGGATTCTGGAGATGAGGCGTTCTAGGTCTGGCATTCTCGTCATTTGAGATGTGAACTTCTCTCGCATGCCCCTGTCGGAATTGAGCATGTCTACGGCATCCAGGCGTTCATTAATACGCTTGATGTCGCAAAGAGGGTGGCACACCCATTGGCGGAACAGCCGCTTGCCAAATGGTGTGACGCAGCGGTTCAGGAGAGTGAACAAGGTGCCATCCTGCCCACCGTTCACTGTGTTGGAGAAGATCTCCAGGTTGATCAAAGTCTGACCGTCGAGGATAAGGGTTCCGTTGCGGCGGATAGGAGTATACCAATCGAAGCTGCCCTGCGACAGGAGGTCGCCCTCTAGTTTCAGAACCCTCAGGTACTGGACCAGGGCACCAAGAGCAGACATTAGCAAGTCCTTGCCCTTGGCTTTGGCCAGAGTATCAGGCCAAGCTCCCTCACCACCATCTTCCTTGGCGAAGTAGTTGCTGTTTTCGAGCTCACGACGAGTGGTCTCTGCGTCCCAGAATTCGCTGCCGGACTTCAGGTAGTTCCAGATAGTCATTGGAGATGTGTTGTTCTTGAGGATGCGGAGAGCTTTAGTCGAGATCCGAGACTTCTCCAGAATCAGTTCTCTCGGGCTCGTCTGGGCAACAAACGTCTCGAACTTGGTAAGGTCGGTATCATCTTCGAATTCAGTGACGGAGAATTGACCCGTTGCGCAGTCAACGAATGTGATGCCAAAGGCAGGGTTGCCGTCCACTGTGGACTCCTTGATGGAGGCGCAGTATGTAGCCAGGTCGTCCTGCAACATGCTTCCATCGACGAGAGTGCCACCAGTCAAGATGCAGGCTAGCTCTCGGCGGATGGTCTTGTCGGCTTTCTTGCTCTTGGCCGAAGTGTCGCCCCTCTCGCGCATTTCTTTTCCGAGCGCAGACTCCATCTGATCAACTCTGGCAACCTTGTAGCCCTTGGCGACGAATTGGTTCACCCACATGTCGAGCGAGCTCTCTGGAACACCGACCATGCGCATGTTGACACGATCGGTCAGCTTGAGATCAAAGAGCTGGTGACCAATGGTGGCATCGTTTTCGTAAAGCTCGTAAAACTTGCCCTTCTTGAAGAAAACTACGGTGTCCCACAGCTTCTGCTTGATCTCCCAGTATTGCTTCTCGAAAGGGGAGAAGTTGTTCCAAGCACCAGGCGGGATGTACACCGACGACGGATCGTAGTCAGGGTCACCTCGAGGCTTTTTGTTGATATCCACAATGTTGGCAAGCCAGGGGTAACGGTCCTCCGGCTCTCTGGTATGCGCCTTCTCCTTGGTCTTGAGGGAACGACGAGCTTGTTGCGTGGGAGCAGTGCGGGTGGTAGCAGACGCAACGTTGTTAGGGTCGTAACGCCACTGCTGAGCTGTCGAAGGAACCGGGACATCCAACATAGCCTCGTCGTCTACTCCTTCGTACTCTTCTTCCTTGATGGGAGACGAAACATGAGACTTCTTTCGTGACGCGGCCTTGCTTGTTGCGGGACGTTTCCGCTTCTTGGATTGCGAGCCTTCGTCTGACTCGTCACTAACGACGAAGTCAATCATATCTGGTTTGGTCTGTCAGGCCATGATCTGTTCGCAGAGACAAGGCTACCCACCATCATCATCCTCGGGCAGGTCATTGCTTGCAGCGTCCTCCTCATAGTCATCGCCATCATCCACAATGGCTGCCGGGGTCCGTGTGCGGCGGCGTGTGCTTGCGGTTCGGATTCGAACGAATGGGTCGTCATCCTCATCGTCGGAGGCTTCGGCGTAGTTGACAGGCTTTCTGGACTAAATGGGGCATGTCAGCACAGCGACTATCACGCTCAATCGGGAATCAGCGAAGTACCTTGCGGGTTGGGCTTGAGGACGGCACAGGGAGCTTGGTAGTAGTCTGTGGAGTCATATGCTCAGCTGAGGTAGATGGCGATGGCAAGGAGTCATCCGCTACCTTGACTGTCGAGACACTCAAGTTCTCCTGGGAGCTTACAGGCTCAATGGCATCGCTGCTGGGCACGGGAGTAAGGCTGGACGATTTCGGAGCCTGGGGAAGTGTATTGGTTCGTTTCGACTCTCTCAAGCAAGGAGACGAGTCGGGAGCTTTCGCCGTGGGCTTCGGAGTCGGTGTTGAGCGAGAGACACTGGTGGATTTAGAGAAGAACTGAACAATAGTCTTTTGGGTCCCGGCCGATGACGACGGCTGGCGCTTGAGGGTTGGTGTCTTGGCCGGCGTACGAGCGGCTGAGGAGGATCTCTCTCCCATGATGCCGACTGTCTGTTAGTTGGTTCTGTGTGCGGCAGACCAGCGGACAGAAGAGAAGGGGATGGGCGAAATAGAACGAGAGTCGTGAAGCTCGTGGGCTTTCAAAGTTTAGGTCAATTAGGTACGGTTAGTGGCTGGAAAGAGCTATCAGCAGATGTGCCGATGTGCTGGAAGAGAGAGTCAAGGAATGTCGGTACGGCTCAACGCGAAAGGTGGCTCGCGTTGCCCGGTAGTATTGAGCTTTGTGGGTGTTGAAACTGATCCCAATCAGGACGGAATCTGGGGACCAGTGCTGGGATGACGCGCCAGAAGTTAGATAGAAACTCGAGAAAGTCGCGCTCTGAACGCGTCCGAAGTGGCGGGGCCGCGTTCTACGTTTAATTGAACGACCAGGGGAGGCGGCTGCAGGGATCACTGGTGGGGGTCATCCTGTGCCCGTGTACCCGCAGCCCTGCCTTACGTAATATTTTGGACTGCCTCTTTCCCATCATAAGGGAACGGACACCAACACCTCATTTCTCGACGATGGAGCCGAAAGAAGATTGTAGCTTGTGTAATGATCTCATTCATATTGCCTCACTCCATAAAATTTTCACTCGTGCATAGACTCTTCTTCCTGAGGGAATACACCTTCACTTAGACATCTGTCTCAGAAGCGAGTGATGCGTGAGTGCCAATGGATTCCCGAGTGAAAGTCCCAAGTGCCTTAGCTATACGCATATGACTCCTCTCAAACCACACTTCGAGACTCTAGAAAAACTGAAAGACTTCCTAGAGAGTATAGATGATGAATAATGGGAGAACAAGATGGGGATGCTAGGTCTC